GGGGATGGTGGGGGTAGACTGACATGGGTACTGGGGTGGTGGCCAGTATGGGCACAGGAATGGTGGGGGGCAGGGGGGTAGGAGTGGGGGAAGGTATGGGGAGAGCATTGGGGCAAGGAACATGAGGATATTGTGGGCATTTGAGTGCTGGGGGTCATGAAATGGATGGGGCGTAGGGGATCAGAAACAGGACTCACTGCACTGGATGGATGAGAGCTTGGAGGTGAAGGGCGCAGCAATGCTGGCATCCCCCAGCTTCACGATGGGCATGCTCTCATCCTCAAGGTCCCGCAGCACCTGGCTTAGGCGATCCTGTCAGGGGCAAGGAGGGAGAGCATGAGACCATGGCTGGGGGTACTATGGCCCCCCTCCCAAGGGAGACTCACCCGCTGGGAGGCTGGCTGTTCCTCTGAGGGCGGGAGCCCTGACCTCTGCCTGGACCCCCGCGAAGGGCCCCTGACACTGCCACTCAAAATGGGGCCATCTCGGGGGGGCCGCCGCCGCCGCTCAACCACTCGCTCAGGGGCATTGGCCAGGAGCGCCACACCTGGAAGTGGGTGCATGTGTTAAGAGCCAGGCTCTGTGCCTCCTCCTCTGACCAGGGTTCTCACACCAGGCCTCCAGCCCGGGGCTCACCCACGTCAGCATGCTTCAGGGCGCCCACGTCATTGGTGCCGTCCCCACACATGAGGGTCACGTAACCCAGCTCCTTCAGACTGGTGACGACAAACTCCTATAGGCAGGGCAGGGCAGACGGCAGAGAGCTTGAACTAGTGCTAGCATGGCTGGTCCCCCCTAGGACCCCACATCACCTACCTTCTGCTTGGGTGCCACGCGGGCAAACACCTGCACATGGGGGATGAGGCGCAGTAGCTGGTGGGGGTCTGCAGTCTGCAGGTGGGCGAGGCTGTCACCCGTGAGGCACAGCGCGTGCTCCAGGGCCAGAGCCTTTGGGGAGCCCTTGGCCAACGGCACCACAATGCTGCCATCGATGGAATGCCACTTGCATGGCTGGCCTGTGTGTGTGTGGGGGGGTCAGATGATTGAGACAGGGGCCTGAGGTAATATGGGTTAAGGTCAGGAGGTTAGGGGTTATCATCTTAGACCTTCCAGGCCCCACCTGGCCCTGTGACCTCAGGGGTCTGCCTTTGTGGCTTTATAGTTCTTGTACTAAGTCCTAGGAGCTCTGGTGGTGTAGTACCTAAGGCATCTGACTGCTAACCAGAAGGCTGGCAGTTTAAACCCACTAGCCACTCCTCAGAAGGAAGACTGGGCAATCTACTTCCATAGAGAAACCTCCTTAGAAACCCAAGAAGAGGTTGCTGCGAGTCAAACTGACTTGCTGGCAGTGAGTCTGGTTTTTTTATACCAAGCCCTGT